TGTTAAGCACCAAAAGCAAACTTGTAATATCATGGTTCAGAAGTTCACAATAAGTGCCCCACAACGACAAGGGTCGCAATGGACCGAGACCTAACTTGAGACCTGAGGGGTAGACCCAATCCGGGTCCAGGTCTAGGTCCCGGTCCCACACTAATTTTCAAGTCAAGGTCTGATTTTGATGAATTCAGGTTCGGTCTAGTCTGGATCCGGGGGCCATATCATTTTTGGGGTCTGGGTCCGGGTTGACCCAACCCATTACCACCCCTGCACAGCGTAGTGTTGGAAGTTACAACATAAGTTCCATTGACAAGAGGTAAGAAAGTATTGTGGGCGCAATCTCAGTAGTTTTAAGAATAGTGTTAAAATGAGGCTTCTAATGGATTTGTTTGGCTTCAAATTTTGTATATAATCTAATTGTACGTAAGGAACAATATTTTTTATTTTTTATTTTTAATATGACATTGAAATTTCATGGGTTTTCAGTGTATCAGTCAATGCATATATTCAAATACGGTCTCTTTTAATAATCATTCTTAGCCACTGGTTTTCGACCGAAAATACTAATCCATAATCTCAACCATCACGATAATGAACCTAAAAAAATAAAAAAAGATTCTGAGTATTCAAATAAACTATTTTTAAAACTTTATTATTTTAGTGTTCATTTAAATCATTTGCATATGTTCTATTTTTCGTGTTGTACATTTGTGGATCTAAAGTGGAAATGCATCGAGAGCGACTTGCTATATGTTTCAAAATTCAAATCATAAACCCATCTCTAAGATAGATTTTTTGAAGGGCCCGCGTGATAATAGCAACCCATTTAGGTTTTTATACATTAATTTTTTAAGGCCAGATTTGACAATTCAATTTTGTTTTTTTTTTTTTAAAAAAATGATGGGCTGTAATTTCTAAGCATTTGCAAAGTGCATTCATTATTATTTTTTGACTCAGGCTAGGATGGGCACAACTATAAGGATGGGGTTTTTTAAGCATGTGTGTGTATGGGGTACCTATTTGGAACATTAATTTATTTTATCCAAAATACTTTTTTGTTATTTTTATAAAGACACGGTTTCTATGCGGCCAGCCTGCATATTGTAGAAATGCGGGTTGGCAATAAATATATTTTTTAAATATAATTTGATCATAATTTATAGAGAAAATATAATCTTTAACAAAGAGATCATGAATATGAAAAAAAAAAACTAGAAATAATAATTATATTTAAAAAACATTTGGACCATTTGTTAGGCTTGTTTTTAGATGGACTACCTATCCGCATCCATCTTTAAGATGTATGCTTTATACCTCTAGCCCGCATATTGTAGAAATGCGGTCTAGCCAGGATGAAACAAATTTTCTTTTTATAATATATCTATATATGCCCAAAATTTCAAATTGTTTTGACTTTTAGAAAAAATAAAAAATAAAATATGAAATACATTCCCATTTTTTAAATGGTTACGTTTTTTTCAAAGTTGT